CGTGTGCAAGCCCCTGGCAACTTGTGAGACCCTGTCTCAAGATAAAACATAAAAAAGGTCTGAGGATGTGGTCCAGTGGTTACTAGACCACTTACTAGAATCAGATTCAATCCCTGGTACCAAAAATATCAGTAATTGATGTTAAAACTACTAGTATATTTGATGAGAAACAATATTTTTATAACTTGAAGATATATTCTATAAGATACTTATTAGTTAAAAAGGGAAAACATTAGTAACTTTACAGTAGAGAAACTTGGCAAGTGATCAAAGTTCATATCACTGTTGTTGGGACAAAAATGGCATTATGTGCCTCCCATGATGCACTGAGCAGGACACAAAGCACTTCTCTGATAATCTTGCCACAAATACATAACCAGAATCTAAAAAGAAAAATTAGAGCCAAATTGAGGGACATTCTACAAAATAAATAGCCTATACTCTTAAAAAATATCAAGGTCATGGAAAACAAGGACTGAAGAAACCTTCCAGATTAAATAACTCTTGGTATGTGTTTGTGTGTAAGAAGAAAACACAGTGGAGAAGAATGATAAAGTAAATGTGGTAATATGCTAACATTTGAGAAATCTGAGCAAATGTTGTACAGAAATTCTTTATACAATGTCTGTAGCTTCTCTGTAAGTCTAAAGTTATTTCAGAATAATGTTTTTGTTGTCTTTTTTTTTATGTAAACAGAAAATACCAACAATTGCTTGTGCTGTGCCAGTACGCCTATTGTTGGCTCTATACTGACACTTGAACTCTCGTTAATAAACTACTACTAAATCCAGCTCTTTGCCTCTTAAAAAAGAAATAAATAATCTGCATTAAATTTTATAAATTAAAACTTTATAAATTAAACATTTGTAAAAATTTCAAATAGTGAGAAATTGTACGAAAGTATGTTCCTGCACCCCCTTCTTCTAAGGTCACCACTATTAACAGATTGGTTGTCTCATTATAAACATTTCTGGACTTAGACATCAGTGTGTGTGAGTGTGTGTGTGTGTGTGTGTGTGCGCGCGCATGCGCATGTTCTCGCAAACATGGGCAAGCATGTAACACACACATACCTGGTCCCTTCCTCCCCTTTATGTCCATACTATAAAACATTATTGAGTATCATTTTTTGAAAAAAATCTAATATAGCCATGGACATCCAATAAGTACGTGTCACTTTGCCTCATTCTTTATCATGTTTTCCCTTCTAAATGAATGATTCATTTGTCCCTGAAACTCAAGGACCATTAACTCACTTTAATGGTGGAACCATTTGTAAACACTGGGATAGCTGATAGCTCACTGAATTGAAGCACTGTATATTGTGCCAAACAAAACTGTCATCAAGCATCAAGGTACTGTGAGGATCTCAGTTTTCTCTAGTAGGAGTTGAGGTGACCTTCACTTTCTATATGGCTACTCAAGGTTGAAATTCCCAAAAGAGAATATGTGTTTTATCACTTTTGGTATCATCTGTCCCTTAAATGATCACAGAAGTAAGGGCACAGTACACAGACCTTGCTCTAGGTGCCCTTCCCAAAAAAGAAGAACCAACAGGTGCAGCTGTCCACCTAGCTTCCCTTCCCAGGGCTGTTATTGCTTCCAAGCGCTCTCTATTGTGTCCATCTTTCCTACCACTGCTAGTCTTACCCTTTGACTACCATGACTCTTAATTGTGTTCCCTACACAGACAGCCTCAGTAGTACTGTTTCTTAGAAATGCAGATTCTTGGGTTCCATCCCAAACTTGCTGAATCAAACTTAGGCCTAGGGCCCAGCACTCTATTTAGCAAGTTGAATCTCATATACACTAACATTTAAGGATCTAGATCTGCATGCAACGAAAAGTCCTCCCTCTTGGCATAAAAGGTCCTTTGTGATCTCACCCGACCCTGCTTATGCAGGCCTCCTCCCTGCATCCTGTTACATAAAAATGTGCTGAGTGCTTTCCTGGACTGACAGCACCTGGTGAACTTTCTCTCTTCCCTTACTTCCTCCACCATGCCGAAGTATAAGGAGTGCAGCCTCTACAGATAATAGTGAACCTGGGTTGGAAAAGACTTTTGGCTGTCCCTATAACCAGTCAGAATGGGTTGCTTCTAAATAACAGTTAATCTTCAATATCATAATTTATATCTAAAAACTGTCCTTTCTGATTCTTGTAAATAGAACACCATTTACATTTGGAAGAGAAGGTTTCTCTGTTTCATATGAGATGTTTGGGTAAATTATAAGGTAGAAGGGAATAAAGTTGATTTTGAAAGGCACAGATTCCCCCTTTCATTTGACAGTTATTTTACCCTGACAGCATTTAATGTGAAGTCCCTGTAGCCAGAGAAGTATCTTATTAGGCTTTAATTAAAAGCACAAGACTTTTAGTTTTCCTTGTCTTCTATCTTTTCTCCCCCATTTTTCTCCTTTTTTTCCTTCCTCTTAACTTGCATATTCTCTCTTCCCCAGCCCCCTCTGTCTCCTCTTCATTATCCTTTAACATTTAAAATATTTTGGACTTGGCTAATCTCTATGGATAGAAACTTAGCTTTGAGCAGGATATTGATTACCAAATATGGTATTGCTGCTAAAGATGTTGGAGGAATGTGGCTTGTATTCTAAGCCTCCAGCCTCTGAATAAGCTGCCAAGCAAATTAGATCATTTTAACTTCTGAGCCTTTTTTTTTTTTAATAAAGATGCTGGAACATCGATTTGGAACATGATGTTGATATTATTTTAACCCAAACAAGAGAAGGGTATGAAGAAGAGGGCAGGGAGTGAGGAGACTCAGTGGAGCATGCTTTAGGACGTGAGCCACCAACCCAGGTTGTATAAGAAACAAACACATTGTGTGGAGCTTCATTTGATTCTACAACACCAGTGAATGAACTGAGGCATAGAATTTGCATCATTATTTAAGGATAGAAGCCTCAGAGGATCCCAAACAAGTCCCAGGATGCTCTTATAATGTTATTCCCCAGTGGTCTTAGCTGAAACCCTCACATTGATGTGGGCTGTGATCCAGGAAAGTTGATTCTTCCCAGGAAGATTGGTGGAGTTCAGTGCCAGGGAAAACAGCCTGAAATTCTTATCATGTTCCTACTGTAGGTGTCTGATAGGATGCAATGTGAATGTGCAAGACCTTCTACAACATCTCTTTAAATGATAGCCAGTGACTATGCTTGTCTCCCAGCAAAGAATACAACTCTTCAGTTCCATATTAGGAAATATTTATTCTGTTGTGATAGTGGCTTTGATAGGGTAAAATGCTGTAAGCTGGCAGAATCAAATACCACTTGAAGCACAGCAGTTTGTTTCTTTCCTTGTGTATGTTTTTGGAAAGACAGTATTGAAATTTCTCAAATTAAGACAGCAAAACCCAAGACAGATTAAAAGAAATTTCTTGTGATACACTCATAATCCCAGCAGTTTGGAAGGCTGAGGCAGGATGATCTTGAGTTCAAAGTCAGCCTCAGCAATTTAATAAGACCCTAAGCAATTTGGCAAGACCCTATCTTTAAATAAAAATATAAAAAAGACTGGGGATGTGACTCAGTAGTTTAGCACCCTTGGGTACAATCCCCTGTACCAAGAAAAAAAAAAAAGAGTTTCTTAATGTTTTACAAAATTGATACCCCTTTCACTTTTGTTGGTTAGGTCTACACAAATGGACCGTCCACCCTCCTCCCTCATTTTGCCACCCTCAGTTGGGTTCTTCTCAGAGGATGAACAAATCAGACTTGGGAAGAAATTCCACCCACTTCCAGATGTCTCTGGGTCAAGGATCTGTGGCTTTTGTTGTACTCCCTGAGGACCTCTCTTTCCCCCAACCCCATTTCCTCTTATAGCTGTTACTGTCTTGTCCTCAGCTCTTCTTACATCTTTGAAACTGAGCCTGTGAAGTTCAGAGTCATCCTAGTCTACAGAATAAGATTCTTACTCATTTCTTATGGAAATTCTCATGTTTTTCTTCAAGTTATTTGGGAAAAAAGCAGGGGAAATTTGGGGACCATTGGGCCCATGTATGTACATTATATGTTTTTAGAAAACTAAATGGACAAACATTGGATGTGAGTCTATTTTGGGTGTGCATTCAGGCACTATTACATAGTGCCACCTGCTTCTTGACACTATTGCTGATGTCTAGAATTCATGACATTGAACGGTTTTCTTTGGGATCTTGGTTATGCTTAGTAACAAAGGCATTCTTTAATGGAAGGGCTCCAAAATAGAACTTGCTTTGCCCTAACCCTTGTTATTGATAGTGTTTGTTATTTGTCTTATTGAATATGATCCTTTTTAAAAAGGCAAACTGCAATAATAAGGACAAGGGTAACTGAAATTATTGTCATCTCTGAGGATTGCGTCTTTTTTGTCCACCTTGTAGCTAGAAAGTTCACTATTATCAGAATCAAGACAACCACATCAAGCCTTCAGACTTTGTGTAATTCATAAGCTAACTGCAATCTAATGATTTGTTATGTACACATATCAACTGCTTAATTCCTATTTCTGAGTAATGCAGAATAGTTGCATTAACCTTGTAAAGCTCTAAGTTAGGAGATGGATTCTTTTTCTCCATATATAGATAATGAAATGAAAAACATAGTCAGAGTCCAGGCCTCCTAGGACCTAGGTGTCAAGATTCCAGTGTTGCCCAGTGTTTCATTTTCATTATATTGTATTGCAATTACATCTTTCATTCCTATTAGTAGTCATCTATCCAGGTTTTTAACTGTACTAGTGATTTGCTGGTGTACAAAACGTTTTTGTCCAAGAATAAAAGGAATAGTTGAAAAGCTTTTTCAGTGGAATAAGCTAAATCCTCCTGCCTTTGTGGACACATTTGTGTTGTGAGGTTTTGTATGTTCTATGTAAACAGAAAGAAAGCTCTTGCTGACCTTTTTTTCCTGATAGGCTAGGGTTTAACTGGTGTTGTTTATTTTGTCACCATTCTGGTTTGACTCTAAGGAAATGAAAACATCTTCCACTTTTCTTTATTTCCAAAGGGCATCCGCTTTGATCCTGAAATTCCGCAAACACTACGACTAGAGTTTGCTAAGGCAAACACGAAGATGGCCAAGAACAAACTAGTAGGGACTCCAAACCCCAGTACTCCTCTGCCCAACACTGTACCTCAGTTCATTGCCAGAGAGCCATGTAAGTTGATCTATTTTTCATTTTGTTAAAAACTTATTTCATGTGCTGCATGTGAGATTACACCATGGAATGTAGTGCCAGCTGATTCTCATCTTTTATTTCTGGGAAGAGATTGCCTGTTCTTGCTGTCTGAATACCAAACACAGATGGTGATTGGCTGCTGATTGGTGTTGGTGATTGGCTGTCCCAAAACATGGTTCACCTTGAACAGAGCCATAACTTCTTTCTGTTGATGTGCTACGGATTTCCTTTAATGTGATATTGATCATTGTGAGCATGCCCTTATTTGCCTTGGCGTATAAACTCTTTCTCCCTGAACCCTTGGACAGAAGAATCGGTTCTCAGCATTCACTTTATTCTTGTTTATTGAAGGATATCTCTTCTGTGGCTTTGGAAAAATAGGATGTTAAAATTGAAAGAAACAAAACTTAAGAAGTAAGTGGTCTAATTTTTTAAAACTGTTTAGCCCTAACTGTAGAGGAAATAGTAGATATACACAAAGAATTCATATATTGGAACAATCAATTCTTGCAAATTAATACCAATAAAGTTTTAAGGAAATTTGGGGCTTCCTGTTTTAAAATTATTTGGTAAAGGACTTTGGCTGATTGTTAAAGAAGTCTTTTACCCCACATTGGTAAGCTTAAATGTCCAGACTGTGATTTCTGCTTTTGAATGAAATCCTTAAAAAGGTTGTCTTAGTTTTCTTTTTCAAGCTCAGAAGTGGCAGAAGTGAGGCGTGAGACAGTTTTCAAGTTTTCCAAGCCATATGTAATTTAATGTGGAAGGGTATTTGTGGAAACCAAGTTACTTAACCAAGTTATTTGGAATATTTCTGTCCCATTGTTCTTGATCTTCTTGCCAAATCACACGATCATGATCATCTTCCTGCATTCCTTAACAGTATGCTCCAACTATTCTTATTGAAACTGAAGGGCACATGGGTTCCTGGCTCCCCCCAACCCCATGTCGTGTGTGTGTGTGGGATTTAATCTGGTCATGGTGGAAGTTAAAGTTATTCTGTAGCTCATTTACCCTTGAAAAAGCTGATGCTAGCCAATATAGTTTATCTCCCAATAAGTTCTAAAAATTTTCTTTATAACCAGAAAGTCATGACCAAGGAAAAATTATTCTTTCATATTCTAGGAAAAGTTGAAACCTTTATTTATTTGAGGAGAAAATCTAAACAAACATTCATCTTATAATGCAATTGCATTACAGGAGGATAAAGGGACATTCCGTACATAATTGTTAATATTAAGCATTTAGCTCAGTGCTTTATATATTGTATATGTTTGATAAATATTTATTACTGAGTGGATAAACTGAGATTTTTATTTGGTTGTTCATAGAATTAATAGAGGCATTTGTGTGCCTCTTTATTTCTGTCTGAACTTTCTTCTCTCTTGATAAGTCACCAGAAAATAGTATTTTCCGAATGCCTTTGTTTTAGTGAAATTTGTCTGCCTCACATCTCAGTATCATTTAAAAAGATTTAATTCAGACAGGAAGTATGATGTTGGTGATGTTAAACTTTGGGCTTTCAGTACTTCGCTGAATGCTTTTTTTTTTTTTTTGGAACCTCAAACACTCTTCTCAGTCTTTTACAACACCCCTGTGAAATAGGTAGCAAGGGATGGGACCACATATAGAGATAAACAAGCTGGCTACTCACAACCCTTGAAGTTCCAGGAGAGCGCGGAGCAGAGTAGAGTACTCTACTCCAGCTAGCTCTGCTCACTTCCCTTCCCTTTGTATGGAACAGCTCAGAAGTAGTCAGATAGTTTCCATGGCAGGGTTAAAACTTGTCCAGCTGCTCATAACAAAGCAAACTTGAAGTTTTAGAAAAAATATCAAATAGCCAAGTGTATTCTTGAGAAAATAAGTTAGCATGATTTTTCTTAATATAGCTTCTTACGACAGAGGGGTCTTGACACATAACAACTTCACTATGACTCAGATAGACCTTATCACCCTTACCATTCCCTCTGGGAATCCTGACTTTTCCTGTCACATATACATATTTAGTGCTTTCCTGTTAGCACATTAGAGACTAAGAATGCTGTGGTGTGTATCCAGACCAGCAAATGAATTTCATTGTACCTATAATCCGTACTCGAGGTGGTCAGTTTCATCGTCTGTCAAGTGTAGACTGTGCTGAAGTCAGAATTTTGGGATTGGAAAAACCCTGAAGGCTTCTGTTACAGGTCATGAGATGAGCTTTTATACCTGACTTTTTTTTTTTTTAAAGAGAGAGAGCAAGAGAATTTTTTAATATTTATTTTTTAGTTTTCGTTGGACACAACATCTTTATTTTATTTTTATGTGGTGCTGAGGACCGAACCCAGTGCCCCGCGCATGCCAGGCGAGCGCGTTACTGCTTGAGCCACATCCCCAGCACTATACATGACTTTTTTTGTTAAAATTTTTACATAGTAGCTGAAAAATACTAAATCACCAAAGGAAGAATGTTCTTTAATCTGATTATCCAACAAACATTTACTTGAACTCCTAATTCTCAAATGAGCACCCAGTGTGCTAGACCCTGGGGAGAAGAAAACTGGTTACTGCCTTAACAAAGTTGGCAGTCCAAGGAGTTGGCAGTGGTCAAAAGTTGTCAGAAAATCTTGGCCCTTTATTATAAAAATGTCAAAAAGATTCTGCAGCTTAGTCTAGATTGCCTCCAGGTCTGACTGCCATATATGCTGAGCACCTACTCTGTTCTTGACAGGCATGAAGAATGAACAAAGTTTTATAGCCCAGCAGGGCACTTGGTAGCCTTGGCTTTAGACTTGAAGACATCAGTAAGAGTTCTTGTCTGAAAATTATTGATCACCCTTGTGACCTTTAAGGAAAACATTTTAATCTTGCTGTGCTCCTGTTCCCATAATCTCTGAAGGAATTATGTTTCGTTCACTTGCTTATTATGAGAGCTAAATAAAACAGTATCCCAAGACTTCATTCAGGATTAAGTAGGAGTATTAATATGTGTAGAGCACTAGCACTAGGTGAATAAAAAGTACAATTCTCATTTTCTTTTTTTTTTTCCTTTTAATAAAAAGCTTTGGGTTGCCTTTCCTTCCTAATAGTTAAACAAGTGTCATCATTGTGTGACTATAGACAATTGTCCTTGGAAGTTAGGAGAAAGGATGAATGGAATTCACGTATAGTCCCAGGAAAGCAGTATATCTTCCTAACTAAATTTATATTAATAGGATCACTAACTAGAATAACTTCTTTTGTTCTTTTATATGTAATAAAATTTGAGTTAAGCTATAAGAAAGCAGTTAAGGGATACAGGGGCTGGGAGAGTAGCTCATAGGGCACATACTTAGTATGTGTGAATTTCTGGATTTGATCCCAAGCATCAAAGAGAAAGAGAGAGAGAGAGAGAGAGAGAGAGAGAGAGAGATGGAAAAAATATAAATTATGTAAAATTATGCATTAGGATTGTACAGGAAGGTTGTATGCTGTAGTATAAGAACTCTGCTTTAGAAAGGAGAAAGGGGCAAGTCACCATCTTTGATTTTTGTTTTCTTCATCTACAAAATGATACTATGAATAAAATATTCTGCAAGCATTGTACATGAATTATCTCATTCAGTTCTCAGCACTACTTTTCAGTTGAAGAAACTGAGGCCTAGGAAGGCTTAGTAACTGATGAGGTTATACAGTCAACAAGTGTTATAGGCTAAATTCTGTTTTCTGAACTTCAGAAATTGAAATCTCAACTCCTCATACTGCAAGATGAACCATATTTGGAAATAAGATGATTAAGTTCAAATGTTAGAGACCTAATCCAGTATAACTATTGTCCTTATAAGGAAAACAGATACCAGGTATGTGTGGATACAGGAGATAGCACCTGTAAAACCCAGGAGATAAACCTGCCAACACCTCAATCTCGAGCTTCCAGCCTCCAGAACTGTAAGAAAATAAATTGCTATTTAAGCTATGAGGTCTGCTATTTTGTTATGGCAGCTGAAGCAACCTAATATGTCAAGCAATATGGCCTGGATTTAAATCTGGACTCTCAGTTTTGTAACGATCTAGTTACTTGACCTTTCTGTGTCTCCATTTTCTGAGCTCTAAATGGCAATTAAAATTGACCCTTCCTATAGGTTATTGATTGATTGATGTATGTAAAGATTAGAAAAGGGCCATAGGGACAGTACTCAGTGACCATCAGTATGACCACTAGTATGTATAGGTGTGGCAGTGTGTGTCAAAATGCATGTTTATGTGTCTTTTGTCCCTCATCATTATGAGGCCTATTGTTTTTCTACATTTGTACTCAGCATATAGGATGTAGAAATACACATGGAATGTTTTAAATATGCCACAGATTTATTTTTATGCATTTTTATTTGGTCATAATGCCTTATTCCCAGCAAGTACAGAAGGAGGTGCACTTTAGGGAACTTTGTAAATTTCCAGTGTTATTGAGGGAATAATGAAATATACATATTCATGGTGTCTTAACTTAGTTATTTTTATCAGGCTCTAATTGTAAAAAATATTTTGAGTTTAGATTGCTTAGTATACCTTATTATTGTAGTATCTTTAAAGAGGGAACAGCCAGTGTTTAATAGTTTTCCCCTTTTAATTCAGTTTTTGTGGCACAAATATCAAAAGACTCCAAAAATCTGCAATAATCCAGTTTCCTGTATTCCAATCCCAGGGTTTCTGATTCTTTGGAGTTTGGACTAGGATTTAGCTCTGTATTTTTAAAAGCTCCTTGGGCTTAATATTTGAGGATCACTAATAGAGCAAAGAATTAAAAGTTAAATTCTAGTATATTAAATTCTAGTAAGTTAAATTCTTCTTTCTGCTCACACACTCCCTTATACCTACACTTTACCTCCCCACTTCCAACCCAAAGCATGCTCTGTTACATTGTTTCTCTTAAATACCTGGTGAGTACATAATCTTTTGGTGAATAATCACTTCCTTGTTTACCTGCCACACCCTTGGAATTTCCCATTTATCCAATACTCACC